CCCCCCCCCCCCCCACCGTATCAGTTCTAGTAGTTTTGGAGTGGAGTCTTTGGGGTTTTTTATGTACAATATCATGTCGTCTGCAAATAGTGTCAGTTTAACTTCTTCTTTACAGATCAAGATGAATATTTTAAAGCTGTTTATACTTGTAGCTACTTATTTGAGTTTGTGTGGGGTAGAACATTGTAGGTTTTGATCTGTAGGACACATGTTTAGTTAAATAATTTGCAATTTCTCTTTGTAGGCCTGTTTAGATTCACCTTCCAAGTGGTTCTCACCAGGAACCCAATGACGTACAACAAAGGGACAACTGATCCAGCCTATCCTGACCTTGGTGGTTTGTTGGCAAAAAACAAGAACCTTTTAGCTGAGGTATATGGATTATCAGAACATAAAATGCTTTGGGAAATTATATCCTGTGTAAAAGTAGGGAGTGAAACATTCTGACAAAGAGCTCAAAGTATTACCTAAACTCAATTTTGTTTTTTTCTCAATACTGAGCTCTCATCAATGAGGAGCACTGATTTAGACCCAAATCTGTCTTTTCCGAGAGAAATCCCTTTGAATATAATGCATTGTTAAGTACTTTTGAGTTGACTGTTGAATGCTGTTAGAACATTGCTTAAGAACTGCTATGCTTGAAATTTATTAAAAATAATAATGAAAATTTTGTGTACTAAGAAGTTTTTAATGGAAAAGATGAGTTCTCATTTTCAATATAGCACCAAATAACAAATAACTCTGGTTTTATTTAATACTTGATAAAATATCCGAGTCACATTAACAGATGAAAAACAAATAAAATTTGTAGGAAATGTCTTGACTTTTCCCTTGATGTGTTTTAATGAACTAGAGAGTGCTTGGCAGAATTCTTTAGTTGAACCCAAGTACCCTCAGGATATTTGTTGCAGAGACAGTCTTATAGGTAGCCATGGTAAAATTCCAAAGGCCGTCATCATTTTTAAATGTACTATGATGTAGCTGTTTATATCTGTACTGCTTCTCTGATTACCTTTAAATGAAATGTTCTGGATGCTTTTATTCTGGGATACTAACTGGCCATTTGAATAAGTAGCTCTCTGTGGTGTCTGTGTGAGTTTCCTAAGGGTTGCCATAACTCAGTACCACAGACTGGGTGATTTAAATAACAAAAATTTATTTTCTTAAATTTCTGGTGGCTAAAAATCCAAGACAAGATATCAGCAGGGTTAGTTTCTTGTTTTTTAAAATTTTATTTCCCAGCTTTATTGCCATATAGTTGACATATAACATGGTGTAAGATTAAGATGTACAATGTAATGATTTGATTTACCTATATATTATGAAATGATTACTACAATAAAGTTAATTAATACTGCCATCACCTCACATAATTATCATTTTTTTGTGTGGTGAGAAGGTTGGTTTCTTCTGAGGCTTCTCTCTTCAGCTTGTAGATGGTCATCTATTCTGTATGTTTTCACATGGTCTTCCCTTTGTGATTGCCTGTGTCCACATTTCCTCTTCTTCTAAGAACATCAGTTGTATTGGATTAGGGCCTACTCTAAAGATCTCATTTTAACTAGGTTACCTCTTTAAAGACCTATCTTCAAATAGTTACATCCTGAGGTACTGGGGGTTAAGACTTAGCATATGAATTTTGAGAGGACACAATTCAGCCCATAACAGTGGCCTTATTTGGGGGGCTTCTTTTCTGCCCAGGACCTCATTAAAGTTCTTTTCAGTATCTCATCTATCAATAACTTGACTCCAGGTTTCACTTAAATAGATATAAATATATAGAAATAGATATTTAGATAAATATATATTCCTTTGGATCTTACTTATGCTAACATTTTCCCCCTTTCAGCACAGAGATATGAATAGAGGTTAAATTTAAATGAAGTTTATATAGAAACAATAAATATTATGACACTCTGGAGAGATTTCTCAATCTTTTCTTTCACAAAAATGTAATGGCAATCCCTGAAAAGTATAGCAATTTTACTATGAGTAGCATCATTCTTCTCCTCAGTATAACTTGCTACCAATACTTAGGAAGTTTGGGATTTTTGATAATTCACATTTTGATTAGATTAAGATTTATGCCAATGCTTAATTCATAGAAACTTTTTCAACCAAATTGTCGAAAAACATTAGAGGTTTTAAACCTTGCTTAAATAAATTATATAAGCTATTTTCAAGAATTCCAAAGTGCTTTTAAGAAGCAATTCTCTTCATGTACATAAGTCATTTGGTAACTACAAATATTTTAAATCTATTTGTTAAAACAGGTATCTAAAAGACTGTTCAAGGTCTCATTTTTACTTGGTTTTAGATACTGTATATATTTTAAACAGTATTCCATAGCTCATATCAGCATTTTCTGAATTTAGTAAAATTTAGTGTTATTGCATGATTTCCCTGTGTTAAGGTTATTTTTTTTAAATCTGGTAATTTCAGTAGAATACTTTCAACATGAGTCATCTTTCTCTTTTCCAATAACCTATTATTTAGTCCTACAGGAACACAATTGTCTTGATAAGGCAGTTTTTCTCTTCACTGCATGCACTTACAATTTTTTGTTATAATTAACAATCTCTTTGTGGTACATACAAAAATAATTATCATGTGTTTCTGCCCAATAATGAAAAAACAGGTGCAAGAGAGCTATATTTAGGAAAAGCCAGATATAGAAGGGATAAATATTAAACTATTCAGTTAGTGATTATGTTTTCTAGGTTAGGCAATATGATATTGAACTAATACTCTTACATAGTGCTAGATGGGCTGCTGTAGTAATAAACATGAGTTAAAACAGCTTCTAAAAAATGTTTCTGATAATATGTATAATAAGATCTAGTATCTTGAATTTAAGATAGATTTAATATGTTTTTGCCTGTATTTTTAGTTTGATTGTCATGGAACTTTTTGTGAGCACAATCTGACTATGTTTGTGTAGATATGATGTTTTTCTTCCCTTCACATAGTAGTAAGGCAAATAGTAGTAACCTGGTAGATGCAGCCAGCTCTGGAGGGGGTGAATGGAGGCAATATAAATTTTGTAGCTAAAGGAAAATGTATCAGAACCAATAATTACTAATTTTAATTGAAATTTTTATTGAGGTAATTATAGATTCACTTGCAGTTTAAAAAAATAATCGAGACCTATTGAACACTTTGCCAAGTTTCTCCCATAATCAGATTTTGCAAAACCATAGTATAATATAGCAGCTTAAATAATGACATTTATACAGTATGATCCATGAATCTTATTCAGATTTTCACAATTTTACTTATACTCACTTGTATGTTTGTGAGTATTAAGTTCAGGGCAATCAGTCAAGATACTGAACAGTTTCAACACCACCAAGATTCTTCCTAGGGCTGTTTTATATCCACATATGCTTCTTTCAACTTCAAATTCATGGCAACCACTAATTTCTCTTCCATTTCTAAAATGTTGTTATTTCAAAAATGTTTATACTCAAAAAGCTAAACATAAGAGTTACCATATGACCCACAGTCCCACTCCTAAGTAGATACACAAGAGAATTAAAAATACATGTTCACATAAAAGCTTGTAAATGATTGTTCATTGTAGCATTTTTCATGAAGCCAAAAAGTGGACACAACTCAAATGTCCATCAACTGATAAACAGATAAACAAAATGTGGTATAATTCATACAGTAGAACATTATTCAGCTATCAAAGAATGAAGTACTGATATATGCTGCACAACATGGATGAACCTTAAAAACAGTATGCTATGTATGCTAAGTGAAAAGAAACCAGTCACAAGAGGCAACATATTGTATTGTTCCATTGATAGGAAATGTCCACAATAGGGAAATCCAGAGAAACAGAGAACAGATTAGTGGTTGCTAGGAGCTGGGAAAGGAGGGAATGGGGAGTGACTGTTAGTAGGTATGGGGTTCCTTTAGGAGACAATATAAATGTTCTGGAATTAGATCTGGAATATGGTGATGGTTGCACAATCTGTGAATATACTAAAAACTATTGAATTGCATACTTGAAAGAGGAATTTTATAGCAGTAGACTCAGATACCAAGAAGGGGCTAGTGGTTACCAAAGGGAAGGGGCTAAAGAGGGAGGGGTGAGGGAGGGAGGAGGTTAAAGGGCACAATAATTCACAATTCGAATATAGGTTGGTCATGGAAATAGTAGTACAGCATGGAGAATGCAGTTAATGGTTCTGTAACATCTTACTACATTGATAGTGACCACACTAAAGGGAGTGAGGATTTAATAATATGGGTAACTGTTGAACACAACTGTGTTGTATATTTGAAACCAACATGAATAAATTTTATGGTATGTGAATTATATTCCAATTTAAAAAGTGAAATAACAGTTCAATATGGCTGCACATATCTGTGAATCTACTAAAAACCACTCAACTGTATGCTTTAAATGGATGAATTTATGAATTATATCTTGATAAAGCTGTCTTTTAAAATGTTATACAAATAGAATCATACATATACAACCTTTTGAGACTGGCTTTTTTACTAAGCGTAATTTCCATAGATTTGTTGTGTGTATCAATAGTTTGTTCTTTTTATTGCTGAGTCCGTGGTATATATGTACCACAGTTTGTTTAACCATTTACCTGTTGACATATCTGGGTTGCTCTCAGTTTTTTAGCTGTCACAAATAAAGCTGCTTCAAACATTCACGTACAGGTTTTTATTTGAGCAAAACTTTTCATTTCTCTGGGATAAGTGTCCAAAAATGCAATAATTGGGGCATGTGGTAATTGCATATTTAATTTTATAAGAAACTTCCAAACTGTTTTCCAGACTGGCTGTACCATTTTACATTCCTACCAGCAATGTATGAATGGTCTAGTTTCTTCACATTCTCATCAGCATTTGGTGTTCTCACTATTTTGTATTCTAGATATTCTAATATATGTGTAGTATCTTATTGTGACTTTAATTTGCATGTCCCTAATGGCTGATGATGTTGATGCCAAACATATTTTTGTGTGCTTATTTGCCATCCACGTATCCTTTCTGATAAAGTTTCTGTTCAAGCCTTGTGCCTGTTTTCTAATTGGATTGTTTTCTGAAAGTTCAGAGTTCTTTATATATTCTAGATACAACTCCTTTGTTGACAATTTTTATCAACAAGCTGTATCTTGGTTTTTGGAGTGCCTAAATTCAGCTAAGCCCTGAACATATTTCTGGCTCATTGTCCAAATCCAGCATCAAACTATTCAAAACGTGGGTTACTTTGATATAAAAGAAAATTCAGCAATGTTTTAAAACTTTAGGGTTTGCAAATCATTGTTCATATGGAAGAAGTGAAAAATGAACTGGCAAGTCTTCTGGAAGACTAATTGACAAAGTTTGGCCATTAAAAGGAA